ATAGGTTGACAGCTGTACTTGTGCTCGTCAGACATCCTTTGGAGTTCAGTTGTTCTGTGCAGGTCAGCTCCGGTCACTAAGTAGCACGAACAGCCACTGGATTGTAAAATCTTTTTAAATTTTTTTCCTCTGTTGAACCTTGCTCAGTATTGACAATTTTTGAGGCCTCCCAGTGTTCATATTTTTTCATTCCCTTTTGTTACTAGTCATCTCGTTTGCTCCCCCTTTGACTTGGCGCTTAGGAATGACAGAGGAGGTTAGCTGGATACGGCCTACAATGTAAACACCAGCTCCTCATTATTATAAGTTTGTTCCCGGGGTGATGGAATGAGAATCTCTCGTCTTTTCTCTGTACAGCTTCTGCTTTTGAACTAAAATCTTCATGCAAAATTTCATGGATTTGACTTGTTTGTGCACATTATTTGTGCAGAATGGGTGCGTCGGGTTCAGAAATGAAAGTGTACGTGCTCAGTGGTCTCTTGCAGAAAAATGCCAAATAAACAACCGTAAGGGCTCGAGACAATGCCTCCTTTTTAGCTCTTTTTGAGCTAAAAGAATCGTTCACGGAAAATTCTTGCATTCTTTCCAAACAAAGTACGTGAGCTGAATCCTTAGTAACAACGTACGAAGTTTTACGCAAGAAGACTCATTTTTGGGAGAGAAACAGATCTTCAAAAACTACACGGGGTACGCGAGTAGGTCGGGCGGAGGCAAAGGAAGCATGGAAAGAAGTGCGCCTTGATGTGGCCACGTATCAAGAGACGCACTAAAAGAATCGGGTTAAATCGTTCAAGATGAAGTAGAAAAAAGAAATGTTATTGCCATGGGTGTGAAGGTCAAAAAGGGTTCCTATTATAGTTAAGGCACCCGCGTGAGAGAGTGAGAGAAGCAAGTGGAATCATTCCCGTCGCCAACATTTGTGGCAGATGTACGGCGGGAATTGGAACGCGTAAGCTGCCCTCTGGGGTTTTCGAATTGTTTCCCAAAACAAACGAAGTTTTTTTTTCTTTTCATCTTGTCGTGTATGATGGGTCAGAAGCCAGTGATTTATGGGGACGATCCCTTTAACGCGAAGAAACAGTGAGCGCCGAAACGAGGAAGCCGCGTCCAGTAGATTAAAGAGCAGAAAGGCGAGCAAGGCGCAGGCGGTGCCGATGACGCGAATTCCAAGGTATGGTCACAGGCGGCAGGTGAAGCCATTGAAAAAGCAGTGGGCGCTAGTGGGCCCTATTTTACAGCTTCAAGAAATTATTACAACCACTGTATCTGCGTTGGCCTTCAAATGATGTCTAGAAGCATTTTCACGCAAAAAAAACATTTTGTATGGCCTTTGGACCGGAGAGCACAGCGCACTTACTCAACAGAGAATGGACCTTCAAAGTACGCTGACAGGGCAACTACCCGTTCTCCGTGCGCAAACTTCTCGGGAGATTCCTAAAATGGCGTCGTTTTGAAGGTTGGTTTGTGAAGTTCCGGGGAATCAACGTCGCGAAGTTTCTGTAGAAGGTCGAATGGGCATCTTCGGTGAGAATCCCATTGAATGGAATTGGCAGTTTATGTTTGGATGGAGAAGTTATTAAGTTAGGGTGTGAGAATTATTTAGGAAGATTGTAGTATTCCAGATTTTTTCCGTGTTTTGTGGAATTTTTAAAATTATGTGATAATTTGACAAATTCAAACGAACACGTCGGAATAATCGCTACTTCTCATTGGTGGATCACTCCTTCAGTGGACTATTCTGGGTAAAGTGAGGTGCACTTTTAGATAGGATAATTCGAACCTTTTTTAAACGATGACTTGGTAGAGGATGGGAGAAGGACCTGGAGACGGTAGTAAGTGATGGAATGACGGGGTAGGGGGTTGTATTGAGGGAATTTTTCTGGACGCGTAATTGTTCTTGGTTTCCCCAGTGTTGGTCTCCTGATGTGCATACAACTTGGCGCTCATGTCTCGGGGGACCATTCAAAACAGGG